TTTTTTTTTTTTTTTTTTTACTGGCTGGAAATCTAGAAGTGCCAGATTGATATTCTGGCTCTTTAGAGGCAGTTCTTCTGAAGTTTCAGCGCCTAATTCGGCAGGAAAACAGATCCCCCAGCCCATGCTGAGCTCAAGATGAATGTCTTCCCTTGGTGTGTTCATATCCAGGGAGCAGACACTCAGTACATTTCTATAATAATTTTAAATAAAATATCCTGGTTATTGTATGTTAAAATGTGCCTGTTGAAAGAGCCCACGCTGAGGCTTAGTCGCTCTCTGATTAGCCTCATTTTAGAGCTCATAAGCAATAAATGCTCAATTACACCCCTGTTATTGTATTTTAATTTGTTAAGAAGTGGCATTAAAGGAGAAAGTTATAGCAAGTTGATATTTTTAAAGGAGTAACTATGCAAGGAGGAATTCATTATTTACAAGCCTTAACTTTGGTTTTGAAACTTGGGGTTGCACATTTTGGATGGATATTAATGGAAGTAAATTAAAGAGGCTGAAGAGCAGCCCTCCTCTTAAGTATCCTGTGCTGGCCGAAGTTCACTTTCTTCTCTGCTGTGGGGTTCACTTGCTGTCCCCGGTGCCAAGCTTGGTCCTGCAGGTCCCTGCCATGCTCCACCCGACCTTATCCTGCAGTCTGGTGTAGTGATCGCAGTGATCGCCTGCCTCCTTCCCATCTTTGGCCCACATCCTCGCAAAACCAGCCTTTTTCCTAGGTGATTGCATGGGGTGGGGGGGTAGCCTCCTACCTTGTCATGGGTGCCGAGCTTTCCCATAGCATTTGCTTTTTTGTTGTTGTTGTTGTTGTTGTTTTGCTTTTTGAGACAGGGTCTCACTATGTAGGTGAGACTGACGTGGAACTCACTCTGTAGCCCAGGCTGGTCTCGAACTCACAGCCATCCTCCTGCCTCAGCCTCCCGAGGGCTGGCATTACACACGTGCGCCACCACGCCCAACTCGCATTGCGTTTGCTGTTCCCAGCCCAGAGACCTCCTTCCCCAGACCCAGGTGGACTCTGCACCCCATGGTGGCAGCCAGCTCCAGCAGCTCACCCTATGGACCTACGTGAGGCTTCGTGCCTTGCTGCAGGCACCCACCCTGCAGGTCTCAGCTGGGCACAGCCCAGCCCTGCTCCCTAGTGGCTCCTCCTCTCCTTTCAGCCCTTGCTCCTCCTCCTTGCTCCAACCTTGGCTTTTGGGGCTTCTGTTCGACACCGAGTTGGCTGTTGGGGTCTGTCCTCAGGGAGTCCCCAGGGCCCTGTACCCCCCTCCCACATGGCTGTGCCCTGCCTTGCCAAGTCTCTCCCACCCTCCTCCTCCGATGGGTCCCACAGCACAGGCCTGCAGTCTGGCATGTACCCTTCACTGCCGAGCTGCAGGGTAAGGCCTGAGCTCTTGCACCAGATGCGCTGGGGTCGGGGGGACGGCTCTGCCCTGGACCACACCTGTGGACGTTTCCCCTGAACTGGAATCTTGGCCTGGGGTCCTGAATATCATCCTACATTAAGTTAGAAGATGGGCCAGCTTGTTTCCTGGAAGCCCATGGAGCCTTCGCTTTGGCCTCCCTTTTTCCCCGTAGCCGTCTCAGTACACTTTGTCCAGCTTTCTTCACCCTGCAGACCAGGACCCTTCACCCTTGCTTAGGTCTAGTTCCTTCTGCCTGTTTACCACACTCACTTCTCCAGCCTGCCTCGGGTCCCTCCCACCTAGCACCTGCACTCACCTTAATCATGTACAGCAAATACAGACTTCTGGGTTTTAGAATCTAGAAGAAATCCACCAAGAATCTGCCAAGGAAAATAGACTTATTCCTACTTCCTTCTTAGTCCTAAAGCCCTTAAAATGTTCTTTACCCAAGGAGTGATTTAGAATACATCCTTTTGGGCTGGGGATTTAGCTTCATGGCACCATTCCTACCTCACAAGCACAAGGACCTGAGTTCAATCCCTGGTACCAAAAAAAAAAAAAAAAAAAAAAAGAACAACT